AAGCCTCGACTGTCCTCATCTGCTCTGCTCAGTGGGTGCTTTTCTTTTCTGGGTCACTTTTCACTGGGAAATGTGACAAGAGTCACTAAGCCACTTTAAGTAGAGAATTAGGAAGTTGTCTCCTCATGCAAGGGAAACAAAAGAAAAGTAAACAAATGAAACTACACCAAACTAAAAAGCTTCTGCACAGCAAAGGAAACCATGAACAAAACGAAAAGACAACCTACCAATTGGGTGATGATATTTGCAAACATATATCTGAAAAGGAGTTAATATCCAAAATATATACAGAACTCAACAACAAAAATAACAAACAATCTTATCAAAAAAATGGGCAGAGGCTTTGAACAGACATTTTTCCATAAAAAGATATACAGATGGCCACCAGGCAAATAAAAAGATGTTCAACATCACTAATTATTAGGTAAATGCAAATCAAAACCACAATGAAATAACACCTCACACCTGTTAGAATGGCTATTTTCAAACAGACAAGACATAAGTGTTGGAGAAGATGTGGGAAAAAGGAAACCCTCGTACACTGCTGGTGGGAATGTAAATTGATGTAGCCATTATGGAAAACAGTGAGTAGATCCCTTTAAAAATTAGGACTAGAACTACCATATGATCCAGCTATCCCACTTATGGGTATTCATTCAAAGAATATGAAAACGCTAATTCAAAAAGATATATGCATCCCTATGTTCATCGCAGCATTATTCACAATAGCCAAGACTTGGAAACAACCTAAGTGCCCATCAGCGAATGAATGGATAAAGAAGATGTGATATATATATATGTGTGTGTGTGTGTGTGTGTGTGTGTGTGTGTGTATGTTGCCATTTGCTACAACATGGATGGATCCTGAGGGTATTATGCTAAGCAAAATAATCAGATGGAGAGAAACAATTACTTCACATATGATTCACTCATATGTGGAAGATTAAACAAACAAACACATAGATATGGAGAACAGACGGTGCTTACCAGAGGGGAAAAGGGGAGGGGGAAAGGCAAAAAGGGTAAAGAGGGTCATGTGTACAGTGATGGATGGTAACTAGACTTTTGGTGGTGAACACGATATAGTCTATACAGAAGTTAAAATATAATGATGTACACTTGAAATTTATGTAATGTTATAAACCAATGTGACTTCAACCAAAACAAAAAAAAGCAATTGTGGACAGATGGCCAAGTTCACCTGTAGCTTAGCTGCCTCCTGCTGCATGCCCATCCTTCAGGGAATGGGCTTCAAATTCTTCCCTCAGAAAAATTACACATGACAATATGTTTCAGACCTTCAGAGTTCCCTGGGAATATTGAATCCATTCACACCAGAGTTCTTCTGAACTTAGGTCTTTGGCTTTTAACATTCTAGTGTTAATGTATACTTGTTTTAATGATTTCAGGTTAATATTTTGGTCTGTGGTCTTACATTTATCTGAATGCTCACTTGATCTCAGTATATTGGGATTAAACTATTTTCTTCCTATAGAAACATATTTTCCCTATAGAGGAAAAAAGAGGCTGGATACTGCTGCTTATCCCAGTCACCCAGTGACTTAGCTCCACTTAGCAGAGTACCCAGACTATAGAGTAGACACAAGATCAAAGTTGTTGATGAATGACTGTCTTCCATAGTAGTTTAGAAACACTGAGAGGGGATCTGATACGTTCTCATGCCATATATCTCAAAGCTTAAAAATCCAATTCTGAATTACCAAGGAACCCCCTAATCAAACCACCAACAGAATTTGAAGAAACAATTTTTAGTGCCATCCACTCCATGTCTGAGTCAACAGTAAAACTATTAACCAAATGGCTTTAGATCTCTGACTCATATCGCCAAATGAACATGGTTAACAAAGACTTACCACATATAATGAGCACAATGATTGTTTAAGTTGAATAAGTGGATTACTTAGGATTTTTCTTGTTGTTGCAAGTAAGAGAAACCCAACAAACTAGCTTAAGTTAAAAAAAAAAGAGGGACACCTAGTAGGTCTCATAGTTTGAAGAGCTACAAAGAGAGCTCTCAGAATCGAAGGACGAGCTGCAGAGTCTCCTGAAGTTTCTCTCTTCCTACCCCTCATCTCTCAGTGTCTCCACTCATCTTCCACCTCGCGTGGACAGCCTCTTTCCACAGACAGAGCACCTCCACCTTAGCACCCCCAGCTAGATGAGAACACTTTTTTCTCTCATACAACAGTCCCAGGGAAGGACTTAATTGGTCCTGCTTGGGTCACATGCCTGTTCTTTGGATCAAACTCTGTTGACCACAGGAAAAGATACTGTGGTTGGCCAAGCCTATGTCATGTGATCACTCTTTTGACTCTATTTCCAGAAGGGTCATGGGAAACCTTACAAGGCAGAAAAAAGATTGTTATCATGGCCCATTACATTGAACTATCCAAAAAATTAATTTTAATAACAATGTGAGATCAGACATCTTGTGACTTAACATGTGTGACCATATACACTGCATCAAGCATTATTCTAAGCAGGAACAAATATATACAAGAGTAGAAAAACTCTCCTCCTCCATGTGTAATTTGTCCAAAATATCAGCATAAAAAATAAGTCACTCAACAATCATATCCCATTGTCCATAAAAACCATCATTGGCAATGTCATCTTTTAGCTTATAGAATCGAAGCTCAAATTTAACCAGACGACCTCTGAAGTTTCTTCCAGTCTATGAATCTATGAACCCCCTGTTAGAATAAAAATACCTCTGGAAGACCAGTACAGCAACCTACTATACTATGGCACAGTGTTATGGGCCCCCCTCCAAATTCATATGTTAAAGCCCTAACCTCTAGTACCTCAGAATATAACCTTATGTGGAGATAGAGTCTTTAAAGATTATGCTATAATCATGTCAGGTCATGTGAGTGGCCCTAATCCAATGTGACTGGTGTTCTTATAAGAAGAGGAGATCAGGACACAGACACGCACAGAGGGAAGACCATGTGAAGACACAGGGGGAAGATGGCCATCCACAAGCCAAGGTGAAACCAACCCTGCCAACGCCTTCATCTCAGACTTCCAGCCTCCAGAACAGTGAGACAATACATTTCTATTGTGTCAGCCACCCAGTCTGTGGCACTTCATTATAGCAGCCCGAGCAAATTAACACAGACAGTAAACCAAGAATTTCAAAGAGGACTGAGGCACAGCTGAGACAAATTTGACATGAGGGATGGGGAGAACAAGAGGTTCTTTTAAGGCTCTTTCTAAGGTAGAATGCCCCCTGAGATTCAGGGCCCGTGCTGGTGACCTAATTAATTGAGGTGTACAGGTAAGGATGTGATAAAATGGGTAAGAAGTCAAGAGAAGTAAAGAGAGAGAAGTCGAAGACAGACTTCACTCTCTTCAAAATTTTCCCTGGGCTAAGCACAAGGTGACTCTATCAGGACACGGCATTATGGCTGGCCAGGCCAAAGGCCACATACCCAACCTTGAAGGGCTGTGGGGAGCCTGTCCCTACATGACTTCAGGCTTGCCTGGGCTCCTGGTACATGTCTCCAGTGAGAATTTTGGAGCTCTCAACATCCTGTCCTGATCCTTGGCTTTGGGAGCCAAATGACTGAAGGGCTGCTCCATCTGGATCAAAGACTTAACAGCATGAGCTCCTGGACGTCACCACCCTTCTTTATGATTTTCAACAGTCAGGCTTCCTGTGGGGCCAAGCCTGTCTAAGCCATGTCATGTGATATGACAGTGCAGCAGTCCACACTGGGGGACATCTGAACCTTCTGATTACAGTATCCTTGCCCTCTACCTCCTCTACCTCCCCTGCCCCATGCCTCATTGCTCTCCCACCAGGGACTCGTCCCCCCATGTCAAACCAGACTTCACTGTAATGGAAAACCTGCTCCTGGCCTCCTTTCCTGGGCCCTCACCCACCCTGGTGGATTTGCCTAGATCCTGGACCTGCCTTTCCTTGGCTCATTTATTATTTTGCTTTTCTTGCATTAGCTCTGACCTTTGCCCTCTGGCAAATGACCCTGGCATCGGGTGGTTCTTAGAACCAGAACTCAAGACTACCAATCTGTGCTGCTGGGGTGATATTAAGGTTCCATCACAAAGCACAATGTACATTGGAGAAACACATCCCTTCATCAGGAAGCAGCCAATACTGTATACCTGTTACACAAAAACCTGACACCAAAGGGAAAATATTTTTGTTAAATAGACTGATTGCTAAACGAACAGGGCTTGTGAAAATCTCATCTATTATATAGGACATTTCAGTTCATGAGCCTCGTAATATCAGATCATCACATTGGCAAAGCAGGGCTTGTAAGGCTGTTGGGATGAAATCCGGAAATTGCTCCATTATTGACTACTACAATGGTATCTGCCAACATGGGATTTTTGCTTGTATGTGCACTGAAATAAAATTTCTGGCCACCATTGTTTATAGCTCCAATATATTAATATTTCCATAGAACAAATTCCAAAGAAGACAAATGAAATATTTAAATAACCCAAGTATTGTGGACCCACTGAATACTGCATTTTACGTTTATGTTCTTTTTTTTTGTTTTATCACCCATAGACATTAAAAAAAAAAAACAAAAAACCTGATAATGTCTAAAGATGAGAAAGGCTAAATTCAGGGAAATAAAGGAACCATAAATCAGGAAAACTTTGGAGCTGCTAGAAAGACACTTTAATTTGGTAGACAAAAGACTGCATTAAGGAGGAATAATGCAATAATCAAAGGTGAACGAATCTCTATTGTCTGGAGTCTTTCTCTGTGGGAATTTTCCCACCCCCGACAGCTGTAAGGGGGGAGGGGCGCCGACTGGGGCCTCGCCTTTATTCTCTCAGCCTCTGTCTCCCCAGCCCCTCCTCTTCCTCGTCAATAAATGTCTGCAATCATATTCTTGAGCTCCTGTGTGATTTCAAGGTTCATCTCTTCCATGCAGCTCAAACACTAATTATCCCAGCTGTAATTAGTAAGATAATTAAATACTGGCTCCCTCATCTACCTTGGGTCGGGTCATGATTCTCCCAGAAGACCTTGAGCAGTTCCTCAAAGCTGATGCGTTCTGGCTGGTACACCACTCGGACTACTTCTGCATGGCCGGTTTTTCCTTGAAAGAAACAGAACATACAACCAAAATTTACTGACAACATCCATTTATGTCAAGTTATGTGTTTCAAAAAAAAAACACTAGACAAAGGCTAAAATTCTTTCCTCTGAAGGAAGGGTGCGGACGTAATTGTACTTGAACTCACGGTCTCATCGAGTCTCTGTCGCTGGTTCTTTTTCCATGAACCCATACAGCTGTCCCCTAGCAAGCTTCCTGAGGATGATGATTTCTCTTCATTGTGTTCTAATTTTTTTTTTTTAATTTCATGAGAAAACAAGCTGGGGTTTTCATTTTTATAATCTCACCCTTAGGAAACCTTACGGATCCAATCTGACATAGTGCTTGAGATTTGAAACTCTGCAAAGGGGACTGAGCCAATTTATTTTTATCATCACCGCATGCTGTATGCAGTAAGCTCAGCTGCACTCCAGAGTGAGATGGTGCCAGACAGAGAAACCTGTAAAGAACAGGCTCATACCTTACTCACAATAGAAAAATTCATTGAGGGAGGGATATATTTGCTGTGCTGTTAACTCTGAGGCAAGGGTCAGGTTCGTACACCCAGCGGGGTGACGTTTCTCAGCCTAATTCGCTCCATGGTAAACAACTGCTGTAGCAATGGTCTCTCAGCAGCGCCCGCCGTTGGCACACCCATCCTCAGTGGTGGTCCCCAAGGTCCTGTGGATCAGGAAGTGAGTATTTGCAGGACCCCTTGCACCTATGGAATTCATGCTCTTCCTTATTTCACAGTGTTAGAACATGGTAAATAATAGAACACATTAACATCATCTCTATATTTAAATTTGTCTTCCATCTCTTTTCAGTCCCCTTATGTGTAATACAGAATTTAGCTTTGCCCAAAGTGATATCTAGCCTTTGCTTTGGCCTCTAGAAGGTAACTTACAGCATACTTGATAGGAGTGTCCTTCTTTAGGATAGAGCTGGCCACACTAACAGTTTTAGGGTGGGGGCTGGCCACACTGAATCTTAGGGTAGGGTTGGCCATACCCAACAGTCTTAGGGTCAGGGCTGGCTATGCCAGAAAGATCAGCCATGTGACTGAGGGTGAGGGCTTTGGATAACACAGTATCAGTTGACCTGGAGCCTGAGATCAACCATATGGGCAATCAATCAATCATGCCTGTGTAATGAAGCCCCAAGAAAAATTTTAGACACCAAAGCTCACACAAGCTTCCTGCTTGGCAATACTCTTTGCATACTGTCACACATGGATGCCAGGAGAGTAACACATCCTGACTGCTCGGGAGATGACAGAGAAGCTTTGTGTTGGAAGCATTCCAGACTCTGCCCTGTGCGTCAATTTCTTTGGCTGATTTTGATCTGTATCCTTTCCCTGTAATCAACGGAAACTGTGAGGGTAACAGCTCTCAGTGACTTCAGTGAGTCTTTTTAACAAAGGATCAAAGCTCACAGTAGTTTTGGGAATCTCTTGAACAAACACCTTAGTTTACAAAAGTGTGTTCCCATATGTTGGTAATCTCACCTTAATTCTCACAACCACCCAGTGGTGCAGGCAGGGAAGGTAGAAATACCCCATTTTACAAATGGGGAAACTGAGATACACGTCAGTTAGATTTGCCTAAAGTCACGTAGCTAATGAATTTCTGGACCCTAACCTGAAAAAATACCTCCTGACTTCTTGTCCAGGATTCTGTCCAATACAAGAAAGCAAAGGGAACAAAGTGAACACGAATCCAGAAAATGAAAGAAATCTACACATTATCTTTAATTTTTTTTAATATTTAAATGTATTTCTGATTGTGGAAACAACAATTGGAAAACAATATGAAGCTTAGAAAATGTGTGGAAGTCTCAAAAAGAAAATAAAAATCACCTGTACTCCTACCACATAAGTACTATCGATATTTTTTATGCATCTCTTTCAGGATACACACACATACATGCACACGCGCACTGCCACACACAATTTGTTTTATTGTCATCATTACATCATGTTTTTTCCACTTACCAGCATATTGTATTTTCCCATATCACTGAAATTTTTAGAAAATACCATTTATAATGACTACATAACACTCCAAAGATGATTGTACTATGACTTATTCAATTATTCACTGACACTGGGTATTTAGACTGAATCCTATTCTTATCCATGAATGTAAATATTTTTCCCCATTTCTGAGGCTGCCTCAAGCCATAGTTATAGAAATGGAATTTCTAAATCACTGTTTAGAAACATTTTTAGGTTTCTTGACACTTAGTGCCAAACTGCTATTCAGTAAAGTTGACCCAATTTTCTCTCCCCATTAGCAGCGTATTTAAAGGCCAATCTCAGTCAGTTTTACAATGCTGTTGTTTTGTTTTGTTTTGTGTTCGAGGAAGATTGGTCCTGAGCTAACATCTGTGCCCATCTTCCTCTATTTTATATGTGGGATGCCTGCCACAGCATGGCTTGTCAAGCGGTGTGTAGGTCCACACCCAGGATCCCAATGGCAAATCCTGGGGTGTTGAAGCAGAGTGTGTGAACTTAACCGCTATACCACTGGGCCGGCCCCACAATGTTTGTAATCTTTACCAATTTATAGCTAGCAGATAGTATCCTCTCATTTTATTTTCAATGAATTTAATTATTAGTGAGGTTTTTTAAAAAAAAGTCATGTTTATTAATTTTAATTTCTTATTTGTTCTTTTTTGTAATGTCCTTTTTATTTGGGGTTAATATTCTTTCTATTAATTAGTTGGTCTACATAATTTTAAATCAAATACTATAGTCATGTAAGTTAGCATCTAAAAAGATTTTATGCTAACAGACATAAAAAGAATGATGAGGGGAATTACAGGGAAAAGATACATTAAGTACAATGATCACGTTATTGTAAAATCACTTTTGATTTTTAAAATCTTATTATTTTGGGGGGCTGGCCCCGTGGCTGAGTGGTTAAGTTTGCGCATTCCGCTGCAGGTGGCCCAGTGGTTCGAATCCTGGGCGCGGACATGGCACTGCTCATCAAACCACACTGAGGCAGCGTCCCACATGCCACAACTAGAAGGACCCACAACGAAGAATATGCAACTATGTACCGGGGGGCTTTGGGGAGAAAAAGGAAAAAAATAAAATCTTTAAAATCTTATTATTTTGTATTTTGAAATGTTTGAATGACAACTACATAAGAATTAAAACTCTCTGAACATTAAAGATGGCAATAATACATTACAAACATGACAAATACATTTGGTAAGAAAAGCATAGAAACCACACTAGAAATATAGGCAAAAGATGTAAACAAGCAATATACATAAGAAATAAATGTAAATCAAGACTGAAAAATGCCCAACATTTTTAGTGCTAAAAGCATATAAATGCACACTGAAACCATTAATATATCATCTCATTACATTTTATAAAACTGCTTAAAAGCGTACCTAGTGCTGATGGGGACACTGTGAACCTGGAGCCCTTACTTCGCTGGTGACAGTGTTAAGCGACTCCACCCTTTGGAAACCCCACTGGCATATGTAGCAAGAGCCATAAAGATTCAAATAAAGATTAATTCGCCTTCACTATGTGATCTAGGAAATCTGCCTCAAAGACATATCCCCAAATAATAGAAAAGACATACACATACACAAAAAATTCACTCCATCATTATTACAATGGTGGAGCACTATAAGAAACCAAAAGTCAAACAAAAAAAGAAACAAATTATGGTATCGTCACATGATGAAATACCATGTAATCAGCAAAATGCAATGTCCTAACCCTAGTAAAAGCTGCGACTATTTATTGAATGCTGACAAAATGGTGGGCACTTTACGTATTTGATGTTCTTTAATGCTCCCAACAATTTTTTTCCATTGTCGAAAATACACATAACATAAAATTTACCACCCTAACCATCTTTAAGTGTACAGTTCAGTGTCATTAGTGCATTCACATGGTTGTGCTACCATAACCCCATCCATCTCCAGAACTTTTTTCATCTTGCAAAATTGAAACTCTGTATCCATTAAACACTAACTCCCCATTTCTTTCCTCCCCCCATACTCAGACAACCACCATTCTAATTCTGTCTCTGTGAATTTGACTACTCTAGGTAGTTCGTATAAATGGAATTACACAGTATTTTTTACTGGCTTGTTTCACTTAGCATAATGTCCTCAAGTTTCATCCATGGTGTAGCATGTGTCAGAACTTCCTTCCTTTTTAAGGCTGAACAATATTCCACTGTATGTAAATGCACATTTGGTTTATCCATTCATCTGTCAATGGACACTTGAGTTGCTTCCACCTTTTGGCTATTGTGAATAATGCTGCTATGAACATGGACGTACAAATATTTCTCACAGTTTTACAAGAGATGTAGTCCCCATTTTAAAGATGACAGAACCAAGGCCTCTCCACAGTTTCCTCACACAATATCCCATAGCCAGTCAGTGGTAGGACCCAGTGAAGAGCCAACCAGGTTTCAACCAGAGGTGAAGCTCAGGCTCATTCTATGACACTGAGCCAGGCTCCCGAATATAGACACCTGAAGTTACCACGTGACAACAAATGTCACATAGGCAGTGGCTCAGATGAGAAATCACAGCTGTGGCATAATTGACATTCAGGCTGTCAAGACTATTTTCCAGAATTAGGCTCTTCTTTTGTGACAGCAGTATGGGGTCAGGAAAGATTTCCCTTCACCAGCAAACACTTTCAGACCTAATCTGAGCACTGACATTATTTGTGGAGAGGTTTAAAGAAGCTTGGTTGTTTAAAAGAAACTACTACCATTAAAATTCAAGATCCATCTGCATTGACAAACAGTTTGGAGAAGCCCTCATCAAACTCACCTTTAAGTTTCTTTATTTTATTTCTCCAAAGTACAAGAGCCTGTGTAAAAATACACAGTGCAAATGATCAAAAGGATTAAGGGGCTAGGAACCACTCACAGAAATGCCCACTCCTCCAGGAGCTCACCAACGTGCTAGACTAATTTGATTCCTGAGACCAATCCGCAAATACTTTCTGGTGC